GGACCCTACACCATGAAGAGCCCCAGAGACTTTAGGGGTCAGCCCACATGGACTCAATTGCAAGACTGGGGCCTTAGAGAGTTGATGGGAATACCTGCTTCTGGTGGTGGTGAAGGGAAGAGTATTATTTATTTTTGTTTATTTAGATTTATAAACATAAAGAGTGCTTATCCTAAACTCTGGTCAACCTCACATAATTAACTTTCAGAATAACACTAACATAGATTTAGAGAATGATTAGTACTGCCCCTCTCCTCCCACAAGAGCAGAGCAAGTTCACAAGTGCTTATAACAAAAGGGGTTCCTAACTAAATTTTAAACTTTGTTTAATAAAAAGAGCCCTGTAACCGTAGGCCAGGAAAATTCTGAAAGGATTTTATATTGGCAGTTAGATGTATGTTGTAAGTAAAGATGAATATGAGCTAATTTTGTGGCTCAGGAGTTAAGTAATTCAAAAGGCAGGAGAACAAAGTTTTACATCCAGTTGTTATATTATTTATACAAAGTGAACAGTAGAAAGTCATGATACCCTCCCAAAAAATACAAGTGGATCTAAGACTGCAACAAAATGGTCCATATTTGCAGGACCCAAAGTGGTCTTTAAGAAGTAACATTCTTTGCCACTGATGTGATTGTATTAGTTCATTCTAAAATTCTAGGGCTCAGATTGATGATTGTAATACATTTAAACTGTCTCTTGCCAGCAACCAAACCATCTCAGTAGTATTTTTTTTGAAGGGTTTAGCCATATGTGGAATCCTGTGTGACCCAAATCCCATTAATCTTCACCTGCTTTTTTTTGAAGGTGCACCCATCAGTCAGTTAGGACTTAAAAATATCAGAGAACAATCACACTTATGATGGCTCTCATATTAACAGTACTTGTAATCAGAATTGATTTATACATTTGAGCATTTCTCAAAAAGCACATAAAGGGTAGAGTTGGTCAAAACTCTGTCTAAACATTTTTGAAATAAGGTGTTTTTGGGGCCAACCCCCCCCCCAAAAGTTTTGATCATATTTTTCTAGTTTTCAGTGAAAAAAAAATCAAACTAATGTAAACATTTCAGTAAATATTCAAATGTCAAAATTTTTCACATAATGGTGGTAGTTTTTTGTTTGGGTGTTCGTTGTTTTTATTTGTTTTGGGGTAAAATTCATAGGATATTTTCCCCCAAAATTTCCCATGAAAAATAATTGGCACTATTTGATCTTCTCTAATAAATGCTATATTTATTGACTTCTTTAGAAAGTTTAGGGGAAAAAATAAAAAAGTAGCCAGAATAACTGCTGTGTACTTGCTATTACACAGGGATTCCCATACTAGTTCAGGACATCAAGCTGTGGTCAATCTAGTCCAGTATCCTCTCTCTGACAGTGGTCACTACCAAAGGCTTCAGAGGAGCATGCAAAAACTACAGGAACAACAGTTAATGCATAACCTGCCCATAGGGATGTTTCTTTCTAGGATTCCCTAGTTAGTGGTTGGCTGATGTCCTGAGGTATGATGGTTTAGGCCATACTTACAGGATGGGGGACTCTATCCTGGGAAGCAGTGACTCTGAAAAAGATTTGGGGGTCATGGTAGATACTCATCTGAATATGCTCGCCTAGAGTAACACTGTGGCTAAAAGGCCCAATGAAATCCTTGGATACATAAATGGGGGGGATCTTGAGTAGGAGTAGAGCGGTGTTATTACCTTTATTACCTCTTTTGAGCTTACACTGAGCTCAGACCTGAAGAAGAGCTCTATGTAAACTCGAAAGCTTGTTTCACCAACAGAAGTTAGTCCAATAAAAGACATTACCTCACCCACCTTGCCTCTCAAATATTCCTGGGACCAACCCAGCAACAACAACAATGCAAACAACTTTCTGAACAGTTTACACAATCTCCTAACTCATAATTTTCTCCATTTAACCATTTTTAAAATCTCTGAACTTCTTTTCTCTCTGCTGTATCTTTTTTGAGTCAGGATGACTAGAATGGAATGCAGTGTTCCAGGGAGGGCATCAGATATATAACGGTACACCTCTACCCCGGAGCCAAAAAATCTTACTGTGTTATAGGTGAATCCGCGTTATATCGAACTTGCTTTGATCCGCTGGAGCGCGCAGCCCCCCCCCCCCCGAGCACTGCTTTACCGCGTTATATCCGAATTTGTGTTATATCGGGTCGCATTATATCGGGGTAGAGGTGTATTATAATATTCTCAATATTGTATTTTTATCCCATTCTTAGCATATATATATTATATATATATATACACACACACACATTAACATTTTGTTTGTTTTTGACCATCACTGCACACTGAATGGTCCACAATGATGCCCTGTTCATTATTCTACATGCTTGGTAAATTTAATTTTGGAGTAGAATCTAAAGATTAAACACACACACACACAAATATTTCTCCCTGAAATATTATTGAAACTGCTACTACAGAAGAAATTATTAGGAAGATACGAAAATGGTTTCCTTTAAACAATATGGTCTTAAAAAGAAGTAAATGACCCCTCAGACTGTGGGTGGTGCTCCTTTACCAAGTTGGTTATTTGTTACAAATTGGTTGTGATTGATGTTCACTTCTATACCAAAAGGTTGTTGTTATTCAATAATCTAATTAGATTTACTCTGGATAAAAAAGACAAAACACAAAAATAAACTTTATTAACTCTAACTCTAACTTTCCCTTTCTAATTTGTGTGTGTCTTTCATAAACAGAATCTCTAAAGGTAACACTGATGATCTGATTAGGCTATCTACAGCTGGAATAAGAAGATAGTGGAAATGGGCTAAGGTTTTCAAATGTCTATCAGTGTAATTAAGCAACAAAATGATAATGCAGATATTGGGAAAATCCACGCTAGTCTAGACTATAAACAGAAATTATTCACCATTCAGTCATATAATACCTTTTACTATATTTGTGCCACTATGCTTTACAATAGAGTATACATTTGTATTTAATTTATGTTTGCCATTTGGAATACTGTTTTGGCTATGCGTTTCTCACACATTCTTATAGCGGAACAGCTATGAAGTAAAGAAGCAACAGAAATATTTCAGTATTGTTGTTTCTGGTCAATATACTGATTAATTTTACAAAAATGTAATTAGAAATATTCAGTAAGTGGATTTATGATAATTGTTGGGTTCAGCAGAGCTGAGTGAGTAATTTATAATAAATAATTTGTTAGATTTCACCTCTCTCTTCCCCTACATGAAATGTTATTTCTACATGAGGAGGTTCTAAACAGCTCTTCGTGAATATCTGAATCTCAAAATTTGCAATATATTGGTAACATAAGTTACATGATATTTTCTTTGTTTGGATGATTTATCTAACTAAGCAATACAGTATAAATTTTTGAATCTTACAATCAAACAAAACTTGAACTTCTTGTTGGAAAAATATTTGAAAATTCTAAGTTAAAGTTATTTTTTTGTAAGTATTTGTTAGCGAAGTTTGATTACTTGAACATTTGTGGAAGCAAACAAAAGAGGGTTACAAACATGTTCAATTCAAAAATCATTTTTAAATTCTTACTAATATTCACTGAACTTGTTTCCACTATTCATTTACTTTTGCTAACAAATTATCCTATAGTTTAAGACTGTAATTTTCATCCATTCTTCAGAGGATGTGAGTATCACTTATTGAAAGGTTCTAATTTACATTGTATGGAGATGCAAAAGTCACACTGTCTGTTTTACACATATCCTTCCCATATCTTATTATCTGTGATAAACCAACATGGTATTTCGTTCCCTTCTTATACAATACATTTTCTCTACTTTGAGCTGGGACAGGTATTTGTGCCTTTGTTCTAGTTTCTGCACACTGAATTCACTTTGTTAAGCTGCAACATTGTGCAACAGCATGGAAACAAGAATGCCACAATGAATCAAACATATAATAGAGAATGGGATATATAGGCAATGATGCACAACGTGATGAGAACTTGCCAGTCGTATATACATCTTGGGAATGCTTATCAAGAGGTACAGGCAGGATCGTTAATACACCTCTATGGTAGGATATCTATATATTGACTGGTGAACAACAAGGAGTTATTTTACTTATAAAGTGGTTTAATGATTAAAAATTACTTTTATAAATGTAAATTTCAGAAATGTGTTAAATATTTTCAATAGAAAATAGGTTTCTTTGGAACTAAGAAAATGGGATGAACCTGCAGAAAGAGGACGGAACCAAAAGAAACAGTATTCTGCCTCTGTTTATGGATTTCCCTGCATCTCTGTCCTTCACTCCCCAAAATGAGACATGTAATGTAATAGACCAAGTCAGTGTAGATTCCTCTTCCCAAATCACCCGGAGGGAGCAGGGACTGACAGGAGGGACTTAACTCCTTTTGAATAAAAATGTCTGTTGCTCAAGTAAGGTTTGGATGTGGCATATTGCTCTGTTTGGTGAAGAGGCTTTATGGTACCAAATGTGTATGCTAATTAGGAAATTATTTCATGGATTGAAAACTTCTTCCACCAGTTATATCTTAGGTTTTATCTAAGCCATTTGATAAATAAGAAATTGTACAGAACTAGGAGTTTTATTTTGAAGTTATATATACACGTGTTGTGGATGTTGTGTTGCCCAAGACTAAAGCTGAATGCCGATATCTAAAAAGTAACTAAGGGGGATAGTTCTCTATAAATTCATCTTCATACTCATGCTTCAATATCTATGTGCCTATGGTTATGTTCCTGCCCCCTTTGAAGTAAATGGGAGCTTTGTCATTCATTTCAATAACGCTTTGCTATTGACTTCAAAGAGAGCAGGAACAGGCCCAGCATTTAATTGACAAATCATGGAGATAACTGGATCTAGGCAACAAATTTGCATTGAACACCATCTGAAAACACAGTTGTTTGCCTAGGGAAAGGTTCTGAACGTTCTGTATTTTATAAAAAAAAAAAGCAGAAAAATTAAAATCCATATTCTACAGCTTATGGTCCCCTCCTTTCAAATAATTACCCCATGTGGCGCTGGATATCTTACTTCTGCTTCTGTTTGTTCACTGTGTAGAAGAGGAGTAGAATCTGGTACTAATTCAGAAGACTGTTCCTTTTCATATTCAGCTAAAAATATAACACATGATTCAATTCACCATTATGTTTGTCATGAAAATGATGTAATCAAGAATGAAGTTAATAAAAATGTGAATGGTAGTGATATTATTATTATCTAGTTAACACTGAGACATTAGCTTTGCCAGTCAGAAAATATTTTTCACAAATTTTTTTCATTAGAACTTTTCCTTTTTTTAATTAAAATTTTCCAATAAACTCTAGTCTTTAGCATAGTTATGACCACTACAATCATAAATGCTCAGCAAATATTAAAAAAGGATTAGACATTTATATGAGTAAAGAGTAGCATGTATGGTTATAGCAACTATATTTTAAAGGCTATCAAAAAGTACCATGCTCACTGCTAGTAATGTATAATACAACAGAACAACATAAGAGGGTCACCAGATGAGGTAAGGACAGATCTCCTGAAGTTATTTTGCACAACTCGCGAGGTTTGTTATGAGATTTATTTTTCACCTTTCCCAAGCAGTCAAGGTTGCTGCTGAAGATTAGATCCCAGATATCAACCTTTGGGCTGTTCTGGTTATGGAATTTCTAATGTTCTAAACACCAGTATCATCACTTATTTAGAAAAGAAAAAATAGATAACTGTAATTCTTATTCTCTGAAGAGATAATCCCAGTAGATTTCTACCCTTGAATCCATGCTTCCAGCACATAGCAGACAGATATCCCATAACTGGAAAGTTCTGAACCGATAGGGAACCCCTAGCAGCACTGTGTGCATCACTATGCCAGAGGGGCTCCCTAGGCTGCTCCCTATGTTCTACAATCAGCTTTTAGTTTAGTTATGTTTTGAGATTCAGGCTGCATCAGTGTTCTATAGAAGTTGTTTTTAATAGCTAGGACCAAGTGGCAAATTCAGAGTTTGTACCTGGGACTGCTGTTTTAACTGGCATTCCTCTTTTAAATCCTTAGAAAGAAACTGAATTATTGGGGAATGAGACATCTCCACTGGAGTGGGGAAAGATTGTGTAACTTCAACAGGTAAGTTAATGTTTAGGAGCCTGAGATGGCTGAGTCCAGGAGCTATTACCAAGTAGAAGTCTCAGATGCCTGTGAACTATCTCGACGCTGTGGGAGCCCCAAAGAGCTGCCAAGATACTATGTGAACCAGGTGGTTGTGTGCGGGGGGGAGGGAGGAGGCGGTGAGTGAGGAAGGAGGTGGTTGGTAACTGCAAAGATACTGTGTGAACTGGAACGTGAGACTGCAGTGTTGATACTTTTGAAAAGTACAAAGTACTACATGTTAACATGCTATTTTATACATAATTTCTGCATCACAGTAAGTTCTTGATATGTCATGTGTATTGTATAAACATATGTATTCAGAGTAATAAAGCAGAATAGCATGGTAAAATCTTGGACCATCAGTTAAACCCACACCGGTATACCAGGAAGAGAGCAGTAAACTTACTTTCACCAGCCACATAATTAGCTGGAAAATAGCCTTGCTGTCCATTTGCTAGGCTGCCAAACCACCAGTTATCATTATCTTTGTATAACACTTGGATAATGTCACTGCGATGGATGGTTAGCTCATCTGATCGATGCGCTGTGTAGTCATAAAGAGCCACTACCTAAAAGAGAGATAAGACCACCACATCTTTATCACAACTGTGCCACAGAGAAAAAAGCCCAACATTCACTTCCTCTTGCAGAAAAGCAGCTGAAACCAAAGCTGCACTTTGGTAAAAGCTGAGGCTGTCTCAATTTTTGCTAATGGGATCAGGGGTGGTGGGAACGCAGCAGGAGAAGCAAGATAAAGGACTGTGGGATTGTAGAAATGGTTAAGAACATTCAATACACTAAGATTAGCTTCAAAACAGCAGCTGCTAGTTTTATAAGCAATTGACTTGTTAAGCAAAACAAAAAAAAACCCTTAGTACATTCACTTTCTCAGAATTGTTACACCACTTTCAGATCCAATTCTGTGTGTGCACACTAAACATATATGTTTGAATAAATACTTCAACAATGTGACTGTTTTACTAGATGGAAAACTCCAATGGAACAATTTCATTATGAAGCTTTATTCTGATCCTTTCATTTATTTGTAATGTTTTGTTTTGAAACAAATATCTGTTATAAACATTTGTACATTGGGTCCACATATTATCTACATAATAAAACCATTTGTCTTTGAAACATACTGCACTGCTGCATCAATACTTCCACTAGAAAAACTGTTAATAGGCTTCTCCCATCTTTCATAATACATAGAATACACAACTACCAATCACAGCCTTTCCGACTGCCCTGAAAATAAAAATACCATGGATCATTTCTTATTTAGCTTCCACAACTATATGATCAGGGAGTGATTTCTGTCCCATTTTGACCAACAAAGAGTAGAAAAGAGTAAAAACAATAGAAGAGGTCTGAACAGATAGGAATCTCCACCCTCCCCAAGACATAATTATGTTATATTTTATACAAACTATTTTTGCCACCAAAGCATACCTGTATATCACAAACAGCAACCAGGGATATTAAAGAAATTGAAAAGGGAATGCTTCTATATTCGTAAGTTTAGCATGGTACTTTGTGATTTGGCAGCCTCAAAGCATTAAGATCAGCTTAGCTACTATTAGACAGAAATCTATCCAAACTTTCACTTAGCTGCCACTAACATATCTAAGGCCTGGTCTACACTACGAGGTTAGGTTGAATTTAGCCACATTAGGTCGATTTTATAATGAATGTGTCTACACAATCAAACCTGTTCCGCCGACCTAAAGGGCTCTTAAAATCGACTGCTGTACTCCTCCCTGACGAGGCGAGTAGCACTAAAACTGACCTTCCTGGGTTGAATTTGGGGTAGTGTAGATGTAGCGCTGTGCAATTCGATGGTATTGGCCTCCGAGAGCTATCCCAGAGTGTTCCAATGTGACTGCTCTGGACAGCACTTTCAACTCTGATGCACTAGCCAGATACACAGGAAAAGTACCGGGAACTTTTGAATTTCATTTCCTGTTTGGTCAGCGTGGCAAGTTCAGCACAACAGGTGATCATGCAGTCCCAGAATTGCAAACGAGCTTCAGCGTGGATCGAATGAGAGACACTGGATCTGATTGCTGTATGGGGAGAAGAATCTGTGCAGGCAGAACTCTGAACCAGCAGAAGAAATGCTGATATATATGCCAAAATCACACAGGGCACGGTGAAGAGAGGCTACATCAGGGATGCACAGCAGTGCGCATGAAAATTAAGGAGCTCAGGCAAGCCTACCAAAAGACAAAGGAGGCAAACGGTTGCTCTGGGTCAGAGCCCCAGACATGCCGCTTCTATGATTAGCTGAATGTCATTCTGGGGGGGACCATACCAGTACCCCAACACTCTCCATGGACACCTGGAAGATGGCAGCCTCAGGCAACACGGATGAGGATTTTGTGGATGAGGAAGAATGCGCAGCAAGCAAATGGAGAATCCATTCTCCCCAGCAGCCAGGACCTTTTCCTCACCCTGGAGCCAATATCCTCCCAGGGCCTATTGTTCACGGACCCTGATAGCGGAGATGGCACCTCTGGTGAGTGTACATTTGTAACGACACTACAGGGGTTAAAAGCAATTGTGTTTAATGTTTGATTTGCCCTGAACAATTGGGATGCATTCGCGGCCAGTACAGATAATGGAAAAGTCTGTTTACGTGTCTGGGGATGCATCGGGAATCCTCCAGGAACATCTCCATGAAGCTCTCCTGGAGGTACTCTGAAAGCTTTTGCAGGAGGTTTCTGGGAAGGGCTGCCTTATTTCGTCCTCCATGGTAGGACACTTTACCACGCCAAGCCAGCAGCAAGTGGTCTGGAATCATTGCAGCACAAAGCATGGCAGTGAAAGGTCCTGGGTTTTGGTCGCATTCATGCAACATTCGGTCTTTATCTTTCTGTGTCAGCCTCAGGAGAGTGATATCATTCATGGTCATCTGGTTGAAATAGGGGAAGTTTTGTAAGGGAACAGTAATCCCCTCTGTTTGGTGATCCCCGACACATTAGACCCTGGGCATGCTGGACTGTTTGTGCTTGGCTAAAAGGGATCATCCCGGAGATAGCAATGCTGAGGGGAGGGCTGTACTGCACATTCACCCCAATACCGCAGCCCCTCCTTTTAAACGGCAAATACAACAGGCATTGGTTGCTATGGGGTAGGAGGGTGCTGCAGTTTGAAACCATTCCCACGTTATGAACGCAGAAGAAGTCAACCCCACATCCCCAGAATTCTGTTGCCCAGTCATGTGTGATGTGTCACCATTCCGGCAGGCGCTCAATATAAAGGCAAAATGCAACCTTGTTCCTAAAACACGTGCTGTCTGCTGTGAATTGCTTGATTCACTGTGAAAGAGTCTCCCTTTTGTTCTCAGAAAAGTATCTTCTGTAAACTCTACTCTCCCTTTTTTCCAGCTGCAAATGTTTCTATGCTCCCTGCATCAACTCAGTCCCTGAAGTTATCGCAGATTAGAAGGTGAAAAAAACGCACTTGCAATTACATGTTTTCAGAGCTCATGCAATCCTCCTGCCCTGATAGGGCACAGCTGAATGCATGGAGGTATTCGGTGACAGCGGCCAGGAAAGCATACAGTGAGCGTGATTGTAACACATAGGAGGAGATGCTGAGGCTAATGGGGGAGCAAACAGACATGATGAGGCGTCTGGTGGAGCTGCAAGAAAGGCAACTAGACTACAGACCTCCGCTGCAGCCACTGTGTAACCACCTGCCATCCTCGCCAAGTTCCATATCCTCCTCACCCAGACGTCCAAGAATGGGGGAGGGGGAAGGGAAGGCTTTGGGCACCCAGCCACTCAACTCCAGGGGATGGTCCAAGCAACAGAAGGCTGTCATTCAAACAGCTTTGATTTGTAGTGTGGCTACAATAAGCAATGTGGCCTTGTCCTTCCCTCCTCCCCCACCCCGTTATCAAACCCTTTGTACGCTTGGGTTTCCTTTTACTAGTCAGTGTTGCCAGTGATCTCAAGTTTTTTTTTAAAATAAATAAATAATGAATGGATTCAGAACAATAGGGACTTTATTTCCTGTGCCAGCTATGGTCGAAGGGGGGACGGGGATCGGCTTACAGGGAAGTACATTCACCAAAGGGGGCAGGTTTGCATCAAGGACAAACACACACAACTATCACACCGTAGCCTGGTCAGTCATGAAATTATTTTTCAAAGCCTCTCTGATGCGCAGCGCGCCTTGGTGTGCTCTTCTAACTGCCCCGGTGTCTGGCTGTTGAAAATTGGCCGCCAGGCAATCTGCCTCAACCTCCCACCCCACCATAAACGTCTCCCCCTTACTCTCACAGATATTATGGAGCACACAGCAAGTAGCAATAACAATGGGAATATTGCTTTTGCTGAGGTCTAACCTACTCAGCAAACTGCGCCAGCGCCCTTTTAAATGCACAAAGGCACATTCTACCACCATTCTGCACTTGCTCAGCCTATAGCTGAACTGCTCCTTACTGCTGTCCAGGCTGCCTGTGTATAGCTTCATGAGCCATGGGAGCAAGGGGTAGACTGGATCCCCAAGGATAACTATTGGCATTTCAACATCCCCAACGGTAATTTTCCAGTCTGGGGCCTGGTCTACACTGGGGGGAGTGGGGGGGGGGGGAGGTGGGATCGACCTAAGATACACAACTTCAGCTACGAGAATAGCGTAGCTGCAGTCGACGTATCTTATTTCGACTTATCAAGCATCCTCACGGTGCGGGGTCGATTTCAACGGCTCCCCCGTCAACTTTGCTTCCACCTCTTGCCGAGCTGGAGTTCAGCAGTCAACGGGAGAGCGATCGGGGATCGATTTATCGCGTCTACACTACACATGATAAATCGATCCCCGATAGATTGAGCGCTACCTGCCGATCTGGCGGGTAGTGTAGACATACCCTGGGAAGAAAGTCCCTTCTTGCAGCTTTCCGAACAGCCCCGAGTTCTGAAAGATGCGAGCGTCATGCACCTTTCCTGACCATCCCACGTTGATGTCGGTGAAACAGCCCTTGTGATCCACCAGTCCTCGCAACACCATTGAGAAGTACCCCTTGCAGTTTATGTACTCTTTGGCAAGGTGGTCCGGTGCCAAGATAGGGATCTGCATTCCGTCTATTGTCCCACCACAGTTAGGGAACCTCATTGCAGCAAAGCCATCCACTATGCCCTGCACATTTCCCAGAGTCACTACCCTTCTTAGCAGAAGGGTATTGATTGCCCTGGCTACTTGGATCACAGCAGCCCCCACGGTAGATTTGCCCACTCTGAATTGATTCCTGACTGACCGGTAGCAGTCAGGCGTTGCAAGCTTCCACTTGCTTCTCAACTGTCAGGGCAGGTCTCATCTTGGTATTCCTGCGCTTCAGGGCGGGGGAAAGCAACTCACAAAGTTCCATGAAAGTGGCCTTATGCATGCGAAAGTTTCGCAGCCACTAGGAATCATCCCATACCTGCAACACTATGCGGTCCCACGAGCCTGTGCTTGTTTGCTGGGCCCAGAATCGGCGTTCCACTCTAACAACATGCCCCAATACCGCCGTGATATCCTAATTGCCACATCCTGTGCTTTCAGGAACGTCTGTGTCCATGTCCTCCTCACAATCTTCCTCGTGCTGGCGGCTCCTAGCTAGGCTCTGCACATACTGCAGGATAATGCGCGAGGTGTTTGCAATGCTCACAAAAGCAGCGTACAGCTGAGCGGGCTCCATGCTTGCTGTGTTATGGTATCTGCACGGATAACCCAGGAAAAAAGGCGCGAAATGATTGTTTGCTGTTGCTTTCAGGGAGGGAGGAAGGGAGGGAGACTGATGACATGTACCCAAAACCACCTGCAACAATGTTTTTGCCCCATCAGGCATTGGAAGCTTAACCGAGAATTCCAATGGGCAGTGGGGACTGTGGGATGGCTACTCACAGTGCACCACTTGTGAGACGATGCTAGCAACGGTATTGAGGACTCACTCCATTGACCTAATGCGCTTAGTGGAGACATGCACGATCGACGTATAAAATCAGTTGCTAAAGATCGACTTCTATAAAAATCAACCTAATTTCGTAGTGTAGACATGCCCTAAAGGACCAAAGAAACCGAGTAACTGAATACCTCCCTCTCAATTATACGTCTCCTCTCCACATCAGGAAAAGCAATAATATGATCAAAACCAACACTGCCAGTGTAAAATTTAGATGGATGCAGCTTACACGATCACATCCAGCAAGGGGTGCTCTCAGAATACCAACTAATTGAGAAATGCAAGGACTTCTTGGAGATAATACTGTGAAAATCAATAGGTCACTTAAGGTAAAAGGAACATAACTTGAGGTAAATATTCAACAGAATGCACAAAATGAAAGGCAGAACAGAAAGTGCTGTGTATTTTTGCAATATCTTATAGTAAAATGTTTAGTGGTTGTTCAATATCTGAAAAAAATTACAAAAATCTAATGACTTGACAAACTTGCAACACGCTTAAAAGAAAAGCAAGACAAATCAAAAATGTAGGTACCATTATACCTTGAATTGTGATTGGTTTAGGGAAATTAGGGAATCACTGATTATAAAAAAAATAAAAGTGGAAGTTACCATTATTTTCATTATCCCATTAGAGATATCTGAATTAGAGCTGGGCAAATAACTGATTTTTTGGTTCGCTGGCAAAAAAAAAATTATGAACCAGACCCCAAAATTCCAAAAACTTTCAGGAAATCAAAAAATATGTTCTGGGTAAAACAAACAAACAAAAAAAACCCCATGTCCCTCAGCCAAAATGTTTGTTTTCCAGGCATTTTTAAAGGGCTAGATTTACAAAACAGTCAGAGAAGGAGGAGTGATAGTGGTGGTGTAGATTAACATTTCCAAAATTATACATACAGTGTGGCAGGTATTGAAACAATAAACAATTGCATAATACGTACTATCTCTTGCACTGGTGTAGAATTATTTGCTCCTCTCATACTTGATGTAACCAGAAGGTCATCACTCTAAAAGAAGAAATTATTTTAACATTAGCATGCAATATTTTGGTAAGGATAGTTTTCAAAATGAACACTTGTCATATACTGTAAACACAACAGTGTACTGTAATAAATATTAATTTTTGTTTTCCCAAGGCAAAATACAAGTGATATTGGATAATATTCCCAGCAGTATTGATTAAAAGTTATTTAGGAGAAGATTTAATTAAAACTCCTTTGCTATATGCACCCCACTAAAGATAACTCCTTATGGTAAGAAAAAAGTCTGTTAATGAGTACTCATTCTGAGCTTGCCTGCATTACAAACTACACAATGGCGGTTCATGGAGATCATGCAGTGAATTTCACCTCTGATTATTATGCTGAAACTGATTTTTTTTTAATAGAATGGCTCATTTTTGGTTGATTTGAAACAAACAAACTTTTCACTGCTGGTTCTTAACAGTACTTTGCTGCCATTATTCATTATCATTTCACTGAAATAAATGGAATATTAGATATAACTAACATTTTAGCAATGCTACAAGTGTGCTTAAATTTGGATGTGCCAGTACCTGGAAAGTTTGATATAATTCAAGTAGCAGAACTACAAACCTTTGGCAGGTTTCTCCAAATTTAGAAGCATTCACTGACGGTAGCTTTAGAATTGAATAATTATGAAAAAACTATTTTTCTCCATTATACTGAAAGCAGCTCCCTCATAGTAACTGAACCGATACAAGGCATTTGTCAGCGCTACTGAAATAGCGAAGGTGTCAATTGCCTAATTTATTAAAGGAGAAAACAAATTCTCCTGGATTTTTTGCGTGCTGAAGAGTGCATACTACAACTCAGAATAAAAACATTGTGCACATGTACACCAGCAGGTAACCAGGGTAAAAGGGACTAAGATATTTTAATGGGAGAATCAACTATGGGCATTTGGAAGTGATGTTTTTCACCCACAGCAGATTGTCCTAAATTATAAACCAGTTTAAAATTTATGAGAAATCTCATTCAACCTCTATTTCTTCCATCTCACACTCACTTCAAATGTTTTCAGCACCTATAACTTTTTCTCTTTCCCTGTCTCTTAAAAAAAAAGGTCTTTTAACTTTTTTTTCCAAACAAATGAATGCACATCTTAAATTTGATGCTGCTTTTATTTTCCCAGTACTATTTCTATTAGGCCATCACCATGTATTTTTCAAAGGACCATCATTATAGCAATCTTCAGCAAGGAGAGCAGAATTTGTGGTCTCCTCTAAAATCTCAAGTGACCTGCATTCCTCTCCCTGCACAAATATAAGGCACTTTCACATGATGACTAGTTTTAACTCATCTAGGAGAAGGATACTTGGTAACCATGAAACTTAAGCTTCTCTAAACTCATCTCCAGCTCATTTATGAGATGCAATATATAATATGCAATATGGCGTTTCCCAGATTAACCATACATTATTAAAGCATCAAAGCAAATAGCTGCAATCCATTCTTACATTTTACTAGCATATCTATTCATACAACCAAAGTGCTACTGAATTTTTGTATAGTACACACAGAGTAATAAACCTTTAAATCTCATCTGATAAATATACAGGCTGTGAACACATCACATCTATATTACAGTACAGTTTAAGCGGCTTGTAAATGGCATACTGGTAGTTAACACAGCCATGCAGGTTTCAGCCTATTCCTCATCTTTCATTCTCTGAGCAGGAAGAACTCTGAAGGCAGTGTGCTTAGCCTGGAGGGTGGGAGTTGTTGCTCAACAATGATTCATCAGGATTATTATTAATATTATCTAGGTAACTAGTTAAGGAACTTATATAGCCCCCATTACAATATTGAATGTTTCTCTCTCTTTTTTGTAAGGTATTTGTATTCTATAGAAGGTCTCATCAAGTTCTCCTTATAGTTAGGTGAGCTGTTAGGAAATAATATTCTCAAAGCCATGAGCCACCCCCCAGAATATTTTGAATGTACTCCGATATTGTGCTAAACTTTTATTACAACATGAACCCAAGGAGTTTCCACTTGAAGGAGTATGTGTGTACAGATCCCATCCAAGAGCTGACAGAGTGAGAGTTCAAGCAGAGTTATGACCACAGCTGCATGCTCCAAACACAGGGCTTGGTAGCAGGATAGGGTCTGCTGCGGTGAATAAGTAATTTCCCCAGTACACTTAAGCTCCCATCTAAATTTCAAAAGTATACCATGGAGATATAACTGGCTCCTTCAATACTTTTAAAGCATGACTCCTTTTCACAGTGTCACTAAAACATATTTTTTTCAGAATTGTCCTAAAGCCTTGGACATATCTGGCTCTAGCATGATTCTTAACACATCTCCTCCTTGCTGTAAAGTGAAAACAATTCAACCATGTTGTATTCAGATTCCATGATATTGCTATTTTTGGAGTGTAGGATGGATGCGTTCAGAGGAGTTGGAGCTAGCACACTAGGAGTCAGCCCACCTGAGAGAGACAGGATGAAAAAGCTAACTTTTGCCACATTAACCTTAGCTGAACAAAGGCTTTGTGAATATTTAAGCCCTTCCATGGAAGAACCCCCATAGATGTACCAGTTGGTTGGATTTCAAGACCCTTAAGTATTAGTACTTCATCAGACCCTAGCTTACCTGACCAATCACAGTGTATTCTAAAATTGAATTCTGCCCAGCAGATCAAGGGGAAAAAAAAGAGAGGCACTTGCCAAATGACAACCAAACTTTCTGGCGGCCATTAGGCATATGTGTGATGCCTTTTCAATTGTTTTGCATACACCCTACTTCCCATTCTTGCACCAGGGCTCAGTCAATCCTAGAACCAGCACTCTATTTTATTCTTAGGCACTGGAGATACGGGGGCCACAGGGCTATTCCCCCTCCCACACTTTTTAAAAGGGGGTGCCATGCCCCCTTCTTTTTAAAATGTAGCTGGGGGTGGGGAGAGTGCCCTAGTCTGGCCTGGCTGGTTGGCACCTGGGTCCTACTCTGCATCATGCCATGTGCCAGTAACTAGGCCCTTATCTGCCAGCGGCTCATGTGGCATTGGCTCCTCTCGGTGCCAGGAACTGGGAAGCAGGACAGACCCATCCCTCGAGGGCTTTGGGCTAACCAGCAGGGAGGGTAAGGTAGGAACTGGAGGAAGGGGCTCTGGGGGACTCAGGCTGTAGTGGGGGGCACCAGTGACCCATTTTCCCTCCCCCCAGGTTGCAAAACCAGGCTCTACTGCTTTATTCCTAAAATCAAGAAAACTACATTGAGCACATGGTCAGTAAAATCATGGAATCACAGAAGTTAGAGGTAGAAAACACATTAGATCAGTGGTTTTCAAGCTTTTTTCATCTGCGGACCCCCCAAAAATTTTGAATTGAGGTGCGGACCTTTTTGGAAGTCTTAGACATAGTCTGTGGGACTGCCAGAGGTCCACAGACCATGGGTTGAAAACCACTCCATTAGATCATCCAGTTCTTCTCCCTGCTAATGCAGAATTTGTTCCCTACTGTACATATTCTAGTGTTTTGCACAGTGACATTTTAAATTCTGAAATGATGGGGATTACACATCAGTGTTCTTAGGAGCCTATTCCACAGTCTACAAAAATTTCAGTCAGAAAGTTTTGCCAGATAGTCACCCTTTCTTAATTTCATCCCATGACTTCTAGTTATACCTCTATGCCACTCTAACTCAATTTTCTTTGGTATCTACACTCTTCAAATATCTGTAGACAATTATGACCCCTACTTTGTCACCACTTAGTCAAGCTGTATATACACCATTCTTAATCTTTTCTTCTATGTCAGACCCCCATTAGCTTTGATATTTTTGTATTTGTCAGTAGTTTTCTGGTAATATGATACCCAGAACCAAACACAGTATTCCAGATGTGGTAGCATCAGAGCCAAATAGAAAAGAATTAGTACTTCTCTGCTCCATGATGTCATCCTAAAATGGAACTGATTTTTTTGCAGCCTTACTGCACTTCAAATTTAAATCTAATTTGCTATCAGGTCTAGATCTTTTTTAGCATTATTACTTATTATGGATATTGTGGTAGCACAAATATATATTATATTGTGGTGTCCAAATATATTGGGATTTGCACAAACATATAGGAAGAGCTTATGGTCTAAAGATTCAAAAATCAGCTGAAGAGTCAGGAAAAGGGCTGCTACACACAGGAAAAGTGTTAAGGGTGATGATGAGCTCTAGTGATGGGAGAAGGTGTCTCATTAGTTCCAACCTTTTCTCTTTGTTTTAATTATGGAGAGGGGAAATGAATAAGAAGGAGCAAGGAAGCATAAGGAGGACACTGAGGTGCAGAAGATAAGAGGAAATGGTGAAAGGAAAGAAGAGGGAGGGAAGAATGGAGGGCAGAAAGAACAAATGCTGGTGGCTGATGGACTATAAGGTAGAAGGGTGGGAGTATGTTGAGGCAAGCAAGCAGTTAGCAGACAGAAAATAATGTTGGGGTCTGTTGGTGACATGGCTATCTAGGAGGTGTCAAGATTTTTAGGATGAAGAGGGACAAAGGATCCCACTTAGCCCACTCTAGCAGCTTGTTTCCTGGGAAGTCCTTGCCTCTCCCCTGCGAGGTCCTACTCTGCCTCCCTTAGACCATATAACTGGAGAAGGGGAGCGTAGCTGAGGCCCATGTACCTGAGGATTAGGGGAAGGTTTCTCTTCCTAGACCCTGAAGATGGAACAGGTGCCCAAGCTGGGTATTTCTCCACTACTACTGCTGCAGTTCCTTCAGATGGTTATGATACTTCCTAGATTTCTACCTCCCACTCAGTATGTGCATTTAAGATTACTTTTCCTCAGGTGTAATAAGCTAGTATTTTTCAAAACAGATGATAATTTTTGTTATTTTCTACCCATGTTTCTGATCTCTAGACTACTTTGAGTACCATCTGCAAATTGCGTTACTATGCTATTCACTCCCTCTCCTACATTAACAGATGTAAAATAAGGCTGGTTCTAACACCAGTCCCTCAGTATCCCACCGACAGTATTGCTAACCC